TTCACACACCATATTGTCTTCAAGTGATGTCATCCAAAGGTCGAGTGGTCGCCGGAACCGATGGAAGCGACTTCGGTCACCGCCAGAGAGTGGCCTCACACTATCAGATCAGGTATAGCGGCCACCGAATGGCCATCCAATTCAATAATACCGTTACTAATTGTGTTTATCATTTGATCCGATGGTTTAGTGCACTGAATAAATCTCGGCTCAAGTTTTGCATATTTTTTCATTATCTCCTGTTTGTGGTAATGATGTGTAAACTGTCGGACGACATCCTCGACAGACTGGATATCTTCATACTAGAGCTTCAGGAGCTGTATATCCCGAAGCCTCGGCTCTGGGAATGGTTGTGGGCGTCGAGTGTTGTGTTATCACTGTTTGGATTGACATCGTTTAAGAACAACAGTTTGTCTTCCATCAGATTCTATGCAATCATGACATTCGCGATGTCTTTGTGTCCAATTCTGTACGCATTGGTCTACTATTTCAACGACTTGTGGTCTTTCATGGAAACCCGGGATCTGTCGAAAGTGAAGGATCAGTGGAATGGATATCCAGTGGCACTCATTTGGTATACATTTCTTGTGGTCGCCCTTCAGATCCATTTCTTCCAATTGTATTTCTCAATCAAACTGTGGTTCGCGTGGAATGTGAAGAAAGTGAACAAAAAATCAAATTAATGTTATTTTCTAATCATTTTTTAGTGTTATTTTCAAAATGACTTTATTGTGAAATCTATTTATTCATTGATAGTATATTTTGTGGGAATGTTTTAAAAGTTATATAATTATAATTAAGGCTCAAATTTAAGGCCATTTGAATGGTTAACAAAACAAAGTGATAGGATTTAAACATCACATAACAAAACCACCCGTTTTTCTTATATTACTGGCAATAATTGTTTTTTAATGATTTGTCAATCAAAACAATAAACTAGTAATAAATCACATGATTTATTAAAACGTGTTGATATATAAAACATAAATATATTATTTGTTTAAATATTCTCTTTAAAAAACAATTCAATATTAAGTAAAACATGAGAATAAATGGAGATCGGGTTCACATCGACCCGAACTCTGCCATCCATTTCTCATATTTCTTCAGATCTTCGACCGAAACTGATTTATTCACTTTACGGACGGCTTCCTCGAAGTCTTCGGGACTGACGGGTAGTTCGAGTTCATCCTTAGATAGAGCTCTGATCTGTTCGGGAGTGAGTCCAGCGATTTTGCGCCGCATAGACATCATACACGCGTCCCGACACACGTTCGTAATGTCAGCGCCTGAGTAGCCCTCCAAACGGGTCGCAATCTCATTCATGTCCAGATCTGCTGTCTTCTCGACTTCCTTCAAATTGATGGCCAGAAGCGCTTCTCTTCCCTCTTCGTTAGGCAGAGGAATGTAAATGCGTTTCTCGAGTCGCCGTCTGAGCGCTTCGTCGATATCCCAGGGAAAGTTAGTGGCGGCCAAAACCATCACCACTTTTGTCGGGTCCTCGTTATTGTTGATGCCATCCATTTGGATGAGTAGCTCTGATTTGACGCGACGACTGGCCTCGTGTTCGGTGTCAGAGCCTCTGCGCGAACACAACGAGTCGATCTCATCGATGAATATAGTGGACGGCGCGTAGAATCGGGCCATTTCGAAGAGCAGGCGCACCAACTTCTCAGATTCGCCCCTATATTTAGAGGTCAATGTCGACGACGACACGTTGAAGAATGTGGTGCAGCACTCGGTGGCCACAGCTTTGGCCAGCATTGTTTTGCCCGTTCCCGGCGGACCTACCATTAGCACCCCTTTCCACGGCCGGCGAATGCCTTTGAAATAGTCGGGCCATAGCATCGGCAACACAACCGCCTCTTCCAATAGCCGTTTGGCGTCCTCGAGGTCTGCGATGTCCGTCCAATGAGTGCTCGGGTTTTTCTGCAGAATATCTCTCTCAAGCATTTCGACCAATTCATTGTCAGGACCCGCGCAGTCGAACCTCTTTTCCGCCGGATCTTCTTTAGCGGTTCCGCTTTCGTTCTTCTCTTTCTTCTTCTGATCGCTGGTTCGATTCGATGTCTTACCATCGGTTTGGGTCTTCTTAGGTCCGCCCTTAACAGCTGCCGAACGACTTCCGCTCGCATTCGCTTCGCGACCGCTTTTGTTGCCCAACGAATAGCTCTCACGTCTGCCCTGTCTTTGTTTGACGGCTGGTCCGGGTTTGTGCTCCACAGGCGTTGGCGGCGGCCATACATCGGGCTCTCGAGGAGAAGTTGGCGGCCAATAGTCGGGATCGTTATTCGGGTCATCGTTCAGACCGCCAAACTGTGGCGATTGTCTGGCGTTAATGGGACGCGTGTTGTGGTGATCGCCCTTAAAGCCCAACAGTTTGGTCTGAATGTCTTTCACGTATTCGTATTCCTGTGCTATTTGTTGTTGGATCTGATGGTCAAAAAACAAGTTCAAGAACATAACGTTAATTGAACGATATTGATCATCTTGATCATATGGATCACATGGTGGTAGTGGTGGTGACACATACCTCCTGCCACCGTTCTTTGCGGTTGGCGTCGCTGATGGTCTGCAAGAGTCGGTGGATCTGTTGGACGACTCCCTGATAGTAGACGAGAGCGGTCTCATAGTTGCCGAGGAGAGCGAACTCACGACCCATTTTGGTGTTTTCGCAGATATCTGTTATACTTATGTTCATTGCTTACCAATGAGTGACTATTCAAACACTTTCAATGCAAACCAATTGACCGATAGTTATATCAGACGTCGAGTTAATGGCAAACCAATGGCTTTAATGAACAGATTTGAAGACATTTACCAAACATTAAAAATTTGTTTAGTATTTCATAACCAGTTTTGACGATAAGTGTTGTCATGAATGGCGAGAACTCATTGAGTGTTTGTGTTATAGCCTTACGTCCGCCCACTTATAAAAGTCGATACATTTTTGTCTGTTTTTCGCAGTTTTTTAGCATTATTTCAATTGACCTTAAAATTAATGGTAAAACTACTCTTGAATTTTAAAATAATTTGCTTTGATATGCAATTTATTAATGTATTTTTCGCATGAAATGATTGTTTTTAATGTGATTTCATTTGTGAGCAAAGTTTTGAACGTTCATAATTTTAATGTTCACTCGTAATGATGACTGCATTTCTAGTAAACTTTAAAAAACTTTTCTAAAACTTTTTCTTACTTTTGATTGGTTTGGAAACAGTTTTAATTAAACTTTTATGACATAATAACTTGTATTATTATAGTGTAAGATATGTCGAAATATTAAATACTATGTTTATAGTGTAAAATTAAAATTTTTATATAAAATTTTATAAACTTGTAAATTGTAAATCAAGAACTTTGTTGAACAAGTTTGCAATGAGAATATAAATGCAATTTTAAAAATCATTTTTAGAGATTTTAATGATGTTTTATAATAAACTCAAATTTTTTAAACATGAATAAGATTTATTTCACTGAATCAGTAAATTGTAAAAACATTTTATTAAAAATTAGCTAAAATGTTAACAAATATCTCAAATGGAAGTAAAAGATAAAAATAATTTAATTTTAAGATATAAATAAGTTTAAAAATGTATCTAAATATAAGAAATACAAATATAGTTAATGAAAAGAATTTTAAAATAAATTCAATTTTTCGTGTCATTCATTGGTCATTAGATTTGACCACAACTTTAGTCTCATTCGTGTCAATGGAGTCTTCATCGAACGGTTCGTCTTTGAAGGACTTAAGAGTCGAGTCCTTATCGATACTCGCGTTTGACATTTTGGTCACTTCAGACTCGCGTATTGTCACTTCGTTTGAATCGATTGAGTCTTCGGACTCAACTACAGCCGTGGCTTCGGTTGGATTATGCATTGGCGGCAGAAATGTGGACAAGAGATCGATATCAGTAGTTCCCGACATTTCTTCGACTTTGATGTCATGGGTCTGGACTTGCGTTTCGTTGGTTTGCGATTCAAGGCTTTCATTATAAGTGACAAATTGTTGAACCGATTGGTCAAATGTCGGCTGTGAGGCGGCGGCATAGCTGTGGTCAGCGGCGACCGGAACCACAAATACTGGCCGCGGCTGCGGCTGAGGGAATCCGTAGCGAAAGAAACCGCCGAATGGCTGATTAGGTCCGTAGCGAAGGACGTGTTGCGCAAACCGAGCTCTCGGAGGGATAGGAGTGCCGAACACGGGTCGTATCAATTGATGCATTGGACTCTGGAGTGGAAACGATCTGTTCGTATGGATTGTCAAAAAGTTAAGCAATTATTTAAATGAATAGTTCATTGAATGCAAACCTATTGCCACCGAACGGCTCAATGACCGGATAATTCATGTGAAGACTAGTCTTAGCTCTTTGACAACTTCTGGACATTTTTGACTTACGCTTTCGTTCAGCCTTTCGCTGTCTCGCCTCCAAAGGGCTGTAATAATAGCCTAGAAAACGAAGCGTCAAATCAAACACTGAGTCAAACGCTATAAAAGGTTTGCATTTTATTGAAAAGTAAATGAATGGATAGAAAACCGGGATATTTCTCGAGATGCTGTCGATGAGCGTCTTCGGCGAGTTTGTGGTAATGAGTCTTCAGCTCGACATCCATTTTCTTCCACTCGTCGCCCAATATTTTGCTGATCTGTTTGTTCGACAAGTCCTGAAACTTATTGGCCAACACTTTGCGAAACTCTTTGCCGAATAGCATGAATGCGTTGGCCGGCCGTGGGATCCGTATCTCTTCGCCATCAGCGGTGGCCACGCGATCGCCGCCGACGTAAGCGCTCACCTCATGAGCCGTTTGTGGGGAAAGCACTTCCATTTCGCGGTCACAACAGCTGTCGAAGACTGGAATGAATGGCGAAAACAAACACTACTTTCAGATCCAAAGGAAGACAAGGAAATGGAGTTTCGAACGAATGCTTCAAACAATGGAATGAATGAATGTTTCGATCCTTTTATAGGCAAACGATCGGCAAATTGTGTGCAAATCTCGCGCTAATAGGCTATCAATGCATTGATCGATGAATTCGGTCTTCAGACGATTATCATTATCGCCGATGAGTTGCCTCCGATTGTTGTCAACGTTTGGACACACTTTCCACTCATTCTTCTTCTGTTCATTATTTTTATCATTCATTTCTTTATTAGTTTTAAATGATTTCTTCGGAAACGATATTTGAAAACATGAAATCATTTTCAAACCATTTATTAATTTGGTTTAAGTTAAGGAAAAACAAAAATATTTTATTTTGAATTAAAAAATCCGTAAACAAATCCATTTATTTGTTATACAATTAAAATGTAATTAATTAATGAAATCATTTTCAAACCATTTATTAATTTGGTTTAAGTTAAGGAAAAACAAAAATATTTTATTTTGAATTAAAAAATCCGTAAACAAATCCATTTATTTGTTATACAATTAAAATGTAATTAATTATCAGAGTTCAGCACTTAATCCACAGCCATATGTTCCTCGACTTCTGGTCCGGCCATTTGTGGGTCCTGTGGTTGTGGTTCGGGTTCGCCATCAACAGGACCATCAGCGGCGAGGAGAGCGTTACCGCTTCCGCGACCCTTCCTCTCGGCTTCGGTAATGAGTGCTAAATACTGTTCGACGCGTTGGTCGTCGTATACAGTGAAGGGATGACCCTTTCCTACGATAGCGATCGACACGTTTTTGCTGTTCAGCTCCATATCGTTGGGCAGACACTCTCTCAGAGCCAACAACCCGTGTCTGACCAGCGCTTTGAGGTCAGAGCCGGGAAATGCGTCCAAATGTTTCTCCAAATAAGTTCGGGCGGATTGAGAGCGCGCGCCGATAGACATGGCTTTGCAGTCGAAATAGTTGGCCGACGGACACGTCTGGTAGACATGCGGTCCCATCGAGTCGTAACCGGCGATCAGGAGTCCCACACCATAAGGGCGTCTGTCGTAACGTTGGGTCGAAGACTGCATTTTGTTGCCCAAACTCGTCACCAAACGGTTGACGGGAAGCGACTCGTTGTGAGCGTAGCGTTGATTTGTGCACTCGTTTCGCATATAACGCGAAAGCATACGCGCGTCGGCTGTGAGGCCCGCGATAGCCATCCCTACGTGTGAGTCGAGTGGAGTGATCTTCTTCTGGTGAGCACTCAATTCAGAAGTGCTTCTCTTCAGCGCCAAAAGCACAGCAAACGAGTCCTTATTCTTGAGGCCAACGGTGGCGGAGCCCTGTTTGACCGCTTCCATCGCGTACTCCACCTGATGGAGACGGCCCTGAGGTGACCACGTCGTCACGTCATTGTCGTATTGGTTCCGAAACATCACCTGTGGATCAGTTGTGGGACAACAAGACGTGAGTCAACAAAACGCCGACAATAAGAGTCAAAAAGTTATATTCAAACACTTTTTCGGTGAAACAAATGTCAAGTATTGACTCAAATATGGTTTGAATGGTAAGTGTCTTACGTGTGGATGGGATGCGATTCAAGTGACAAACAAATGGCAAAACTTTTTGAATCAATTGAATGGTTGAATCAGTTTTGACACAAACGGTGAGTGTTTGCAGCAAATAATGCAAAATCATTGACGACTTGTTTCGCACAAAATTACGTCCAAATTATTAGTGAAACAAAAAACACATTTCATTCACTGTTTCACTGAATTTCACACCATTTTTGACCATAACTTACGTTCACTTTATTTGAACCCATTTTTGATATTATACTCAATAATGAGACCAATTTTGAGGTACTTTTCAATAGAAATGCATACAATTTGCACACATTTTGCACACATTTTCGGACACAACACCCGATGCCTACAAACGGACACATAATTACTGTACGAATGGTTTTGAATGTGAAGCCAAGACATGAAAAATTAAAGACAATATAAAAATTGTTTATTTCTAGCATTGAATTGAAATCCGAGTGAAGAGTACTATTTGTGGCCACAAAATCGTGGGATCAGATCAGAGGACAGTCGAGCGATCAGTGGTGCGGTTGTAGTGAAGCAAACAATAGGTTGTATCGATTGGTGGAGAAGATGCCGATGAATTCAGTGGGCATTCAGTTCGGGCACAACAACATAGAGCCGATGCAATTGGACATGAATTTGGACGACGAGAGTGAGGGCAACGGTGAGGCACAGGTGGCCAATGGGGGCGGCAATGGACCCGAAGGTCACCACCAATTGGGCCAATATCTGGTGGAGAACCCGACGCTCGACGTGGAGTCGTATAGCAATGCATATATAGGTCTGTCGCGTATCAATCGGTTGCTCTTCATTGCCGACCACTGCCTGCAGTTGAGGACAGAAGCGCTCAAAATGGCTCTCAATTACGTTAAGGACAACACATATAATGTCAATATCTATACACAATTGTACCGCAAATTAGCCGATAGTATAGCGATGAGTGGTCTGAATGTGGAGGCAGTGATCGGTCCGTTGGACACCAATTGGATTGAGAACAAGCAGAAGAAGGCGGCCCTCAAACTGGAGAAGTTGGACACAGATCTCAAGAACTATAAGTCCAACTCAATTAAGGAGAGCATTAGGAGAGGACACGACGATTTGGGTGATCACTATCTCGACTGCGGAGACCTGTCTAACGCTCTGAAATGCTATTCCCGTTCCCGAGACTATTGCACGAGTGGTAAACATGTGCTCAATATGTGTCTGAATGTCATAAAAGTGAGCATTTATTTGCAAAACTGGTCGCATGTGTTGACATATGTGGCCAAAGCCGAGGGCACTCCGGAGTACAGCTCTTCCAGCAGTATTGCCACTCGTCTGAACTGCGCGGCCGGACTCAGCGACTTGGCCTCCAAGAAGTACAAGAACGCGGCCAAACACTTCTTGGCGGCCAATTTCGATCACTTGAGCGTAGAGTACGGCGATATGGTTTCGGTGAACAACGTTGCCGTTTACGGCGGTCTCTGCGCTTTGGCCACTTTCGACCGCTTGGAACTCCACAAGAATATCATATCCAACGCCTCTTTCAAACTGTTCCTTGAATTAGAGCCACAATTGAGAGACGCGATCACTAAGTTTCATGAGTCGAAGTACGCCAACTGTCTCTCAATACTCGATGACCTCAAAGACAATCTGCTTCTGGACCTGTATTTGGCACAACACGTCCACGTCTTGTACTCTCACATCAGAAACCGAGCGCTCATTCAATACTTCTCGCCATATCTATCGGCGGATATGAACAAAATGTCAGTCGCTTTCAATACCAGTGTCTCATCACTTGAGGACGAACTCATGCATCTCATACTCGAGGGCCAAATACAGGTCTGTTGTATTGGAAATGAATTGAGATTAATGTTATTTATTGATTGGTTTTGTCGTACACTTTAGGCTCGAATCGATTCCCACAATAAGATTCTGTACGCAAAAGACGTCGACCAAAGAACAGTCACTTTTGAAAGAGCGCTAGAGATGGGCCGCGAATGGCAGCGACGGACAAAGTCTTTGATATTGAGGTCAGCGATGCTTAAGAACGGACTCATTCACGTGAAGTGTCCGCAGCCCTCCAGAGGTGATGAGAACACTCCAACCGGTTCCTCGAACAACGCCTCCGGTTCTAATATACCCATCGGTTCCCAAAAGTAAAAAATAAGGTAATTCTTAGTGATTTGTATCTAATTTTGTTAAAAATTAGCGTTTCTTAATAAAAATTTAACATTTGACACCTATTTTGTGTATTTCTAACAAAACTATTTAAGACTTTTCAACAACAAAAAGATTAATTAAAAACGAATTTTCAATATCAGTATAAAATTACATTGATTTTTGCGCATGTTTTCAATGCAATAACTTTTTTCTTCTATTTACTTTCAATTCTATGTTTATTTTCCTTAATTTTCTGATTTATAAAACGATGATATCTTTAATTTGGTTTAAATATATACTACTATTCAATAGATATATTGAATGAATAATTGTTTAAAACAATTGTCTCGAAACGAGTGTATACTGTATTCAATATACAGATATGTTATGTCTATTTGAGAAAATTTGTTATTCTTTATAATCACATAAGTTATTGAATTTCATTATAATTAATGGCGAATATTTTGCCCGAATTTAATTTTTATATAATTAATTGCTTTATTATTTAATTAAAACCACCAAACGTTAGGACAAATGTAAACACAAATTTTAAGTTGTATTTAATGAACAGATAAATAAATTTCTTATTTTGTAAATAAGCATTGAATTGAATGTCTCTCAACAGCCGAACAGTGTTTTCACGTCTTTCCAATTGAAGTCATTTGAGTTGTCATTCTTCGTGACCACACAATAACGGCTGCCATTGAAGAAAGTGAAACTGTTGTCCGAATTGGCGATAAATGCGTTAAATTTTAAGGGAATTTGCATTGAATTGAATGTCAATCGATAGACGTTATTATAACTGGACATCGAGACAGAGGAAGCGCTCCCGTAAGCGATCACTTGTATGTCATTAGTGGTAGACATGGACTGACCCGAGGAATAAGAGCATGAATTGTTTGGAACAAAGAATCCAATTGTTTGTCCACTTTTCTTAATGATAAGACACGGAATGGACGGCTGGTTTTGGTTCCAATGATAAGTGTTAACATTGAGGCCGTTATACTGAATGAGTTCATTATTGCGAATATAATAAACTTTTCCGTTGTTTTCGAAACACTCGTCAATTGGACTCAAATCGAAAGGATATAAGTTTGAGATTTGCGTGATTTGTGCGCTTCTTATGTCTCCAATAGTGAACGTATAGGACTGTTGTCCGCACAATAACTGCATTCTTGAGTCCGTCAGTCGAACCGTCTTATAATTTCCACTTTGTATTTGACCGCAAATATCAGACCAATTGGTCGTTTGGTTAGCCATCACTGCAGTCACCACTAGAAGTGCTATCAAATAAAACATGGTTTAAAAACAGTTGAAAACAATAAATACTCTTCCTTTTGAGACAAACAATAGGAATGACAACTAATTCTTGTTTATTGTATTTGAATTGCATTGTTATTCAATACCTTTAAAGGTTTGTATAACCGATTGATTTATTACAAGTTTCTGTATTTAGTATTAATAATTCATCAACAATAATAATAATGTTATTACATTAATGTAATCGTCGGGTGACTAATATCGAGATGAAATTTGGAAATAAAAGTAGTAATAAATGAAACGAAATAAAATATTTTTTTAGGAATAATACCAAAAAACCTTATGTTTTATTTAATAGCTTTACTTTTGTATGAATTTATTAATATTTTGGTTATTTTGACGTCTCGTTGATTATTAACTGATATTAATTAATTCAAAACATTGGCATTTAAAACAGTGTTAATACATATTTATAAATGCTTTTAAATATTGGATTTAATGATATCCTAGTTCCTTCACTATTAAGCGTGTATATAGAATTATGAAATTAGTTTCATAATTTAAGTTGACATCCCAGGCACCAGAATCCAAGTTTCATCAAGATCGGATTAATAGCTTTTGAACAGGATTTTTTCAAAGTTTGTCAGTCGGAAATATTTTAAAAAAATTTACATAAAAATATTCGACTAAAAATTATCTCATTTTAAAAGTGAAAATATTTCCACTAAAGATGTGTTTGAAGTGATTATTTGGTTATTGGGATTCACTATTAGTTATCAGACAATAGTTTAGTGTAGATATCATGACATCAATTATAACGGGAATCA